CACCGCAAAGCAAAAAAACCCTATTTAGACCATCATTTTGCGATTGCAATTGCAATCGCAAAAAGATTGTCGTACAACGACCTCGTCGTAATGTGGGGAAATCATTAAGTGACATACCACTGTAGGTCACGAACTATACGGAAAATTTCCGCCTGCTGATCTGAAGCCTTGCTTATCCGGTCACCGAGGTGAACTCGGCTAGCAGCCCTTATCTTGGCCAGATAATGGTTAGTCGCGACCCTGACAGCTTCCCTATTATAATCCGTCGGTTTCTTTCTCTACTTGCTCTCTAGCCTTCTCCTAGTTTGCATCATCCCTCGTAGTGTAGTTAAATCTAATTATATCCAATAACTCAGGTTGCTTTTTCTCCATGCAGTTTATTTAAAATACAGCCATCTCAGTGTTGTGGTATTGAAGATCAAAGCTCCTGACTCTGCAAGGTTTTCCACTGAACTTAAAAGATACAACACAGAATGATTACACTCTGAATATTCTATGAGATACAACTGTGTTCCTTTGGCACCATTTTTCCTGAACAATTTCTGAGATATAAGTTACAGGAAGAACAGATGTCCATATTGATTTGTTCAGTGCTGGGCCATTTTGTGTTTCCTCTGAAGAAAATATTCCTTGTTAGACAGAAGGCAAGGTCCAAACAAAACTTAGCTTTCTTAAATTGTGTGGATTTAATGGGAAACCAAAGCCCAAAGAGAATTTTTTAAAAACATTTTAAATTAATTTTCCAATCTATCTACATTGTTTGTGCTTGTCAAACATCGTGTTACATACTTGCTTGCAATTATTTGTTTTTTACATCTCAGTGTCTTCCCGATTATCCCCCCAAATTCCAACCATCTTTCAAACCATTCATATACAGATTTTAGTATATAATATAACTATTATCATAATATTACTCTCATATTATATAAAGTTCTCAGGATCTTCTAATAACATTCTTATTGAAAGTGGTTCCAGATCAATGACCCAGCTTTATATCTAGTTTAGTTTGCCTAAAATAAAAAATCACCATATTACATCTTTACCCTGATTTGGTCTCCCTTATTTCAATTTAGTTCTCCTTTTAATATATAGAATATACCCTTTTACAGATCCACATGATAAATATAAACATGTTTCCAATATTAAGGGGCCCTTCCTTGTTTTCCCTTTTTTCATCTTTCTAGGTAATTCCCTCTGTGATTCCTCTTTTTTCATTCCCTGCTATATCTCTAAACATTCTGTCATCTTTCATGTCCTCTGATACCATTTTGTAGCTCTGATTGATGTCCACTGACTCCTTTTGTATTTGGTCTATCTTCAATGAGTCTTCCAGGCTTTTTTTTTTTTTTTGGTTAATTTTGCTGTTTTTTTTCCCCTTTGTCTTCCCCTGGTACTCTCCTCTGGTCCAAGACTGATGTTTATCTTAGGTTAACTTTCTCAAGCTGCTGCTTGGTTTGGCATACATCATCTGTGATACTCCCATTTCCTTCCTTGTTGTTTTCTGTTGCTTGTGGACTATAGTCCTTCTGATGTTGATTAGATAATTTTGCCTCTTGATAATGAGATCTCACGGTCGTTAATATTTTTTGAAGCATAGATTTTATTTCATTCCAAAATTGTCCTTGTTGTGCCATTCTGTTTCTGCTGCCTAGATGCTTATAAACAGATATTCCAAATTTCCAGAATCATTTCAAGAGTTCCGCTTTGGCTATGTAAAGTTGAACCAAATTCGACCCAAGGAACAGTTTTTGAAACATCCACTTTAGGGTTAATTCCAGCCAGAAGCTCACGAGGAAATAAACAGTTTTTCAGACTTAAGCAACAACAGTATATTCAAGGTCACATCTTCTGGGAATCATTCCAAATGCTCTGGATAGTCAAAACAATGTCCACACTTAATTTGCAGGAAGGTCTCTTAAGCTTATAACGCCAGATTGTAAATATTCTTAAAGTATAATTTTAAAAAGTTACTTTCTTCAGCTATCCCTCTCACCAGATTTTCTGCCGCTTTAAAAAGTTACTGAGATAAGATACCAATTCTTTTTTTCCATATGTAAGGGTACGTAGGCAATTAGTTGTAAAAAGATTCTCACCCGATGGAAAAACAGCGATGCCAGGTGCTGTTCCTTGCTTCTCTCAGCTGGCTGCCAGCATCTTGGAAGCTCACCGAAGCTGCTTATTTCTGCCCGTTGGCTGATTAGGGAGTTTCCTGGATCGAACTGGGGTGGCCGCCACCCCCCGTGATCAACAGGCTTTCTCCCCCAGTTCACCACCCCTCCAGGGTGGTTCCGACACCCTACGGTGTCCCAAAATGGGTCAGAATTCAGCCCAGAGGACAGAGCTATGCCCTCCTGCTGCTTTCTCGTCGCGACGTCAAGCCGGAAGTCGAAGCCCAAAGAGAAATTAAAGCACCTGATTATTCTCTGTGTCAGCAAGAGATAGTAAAGAATGTGAAAAATAGTCCAGTTGTATATCTTTTTCTCTTGTGCTCCTGGGCTTCTTTTGTTCAAATAAAGTCTTGAGATGCTTTCAACACTGAATTCTAGCTACTGGTGTAAATCAAAATTACTTCATAAATGACTCAAAAATTCATTCTTTGTCAACAAGTAATTATAGACCTAATTGTCCTTCCATGTAAACTCATTCCATGTAAACCTCACTCATTCACACTTCACCACTAACTATGGGCTCCCCCACTCCTTAACAAAGGAGAGAGTCTTTGAAATCTCCTGTCCTTATAGCAACTCCACTGACAGAATTCCATTTTTAAAAGTGAAGTGATAATCCATGTCAAGGAAGATGTTGGGAATGGGTATTTTATAGTCATTGCTGAGGGAAATACTTTCAAGTATTCCCTCAAACTCTTTCCCTGGTCACCACGTAATTGTATGTACTGCAGCCCCATAAAGACAAGACTTACTGTGGCATATACTCCCCATCCCCTTTGGACTACTGATCATACCAAATTTCATGAAACATAGGAGTGCATAAATGGTTGCATGCTTATGGAACAGGTTAGGTGTTTAAATGAAGGCTTTTAATCATGTTAATTGATTTTTAATGTGTCAACTAACAGAAGAAAAGGAGGCTATACATTAAAAATAAAAAGAGTAGATAAAAAGCTGAAAGGTGGTAATAAATCCAAAGCCATCAAGTGAGTTTCTTGGATGATTTGAACTGGAGTGCCTCTGGAGTATCCAACCTAATAGCTAAACCTGACAGTTGTTGAGTTTTCATAATCTCTAGAATTAAAGCCATGTTCCTCACAAAGTGTTATTCTACCTTATTTATCCTGAATTCGACCCCTTAGTTTTTTTCTGTAATGAAAGTAAGGGAATATATAATATCCATAAGGATATCCATAAAGAAGCAGAATGAACACTAGAAAATCATCTTTTTTGCCTGTTCATGCACTTCCCCTCCATATATCCCCAGCATATGGCAACATATGGCCCATTTAATCTGTGGTGGAATTAAAATCTTCGGACATCATATCTGTAGAATATCAGACAGAAACCTCTACCAATCCAGTTTCCTTCCTTCAGTTTCTACATTTTCACCACTCTGTTGTTATCAATCTCTTCCTCTGTCTCTCTGCTTACATAAGACAGCAAACCTATTATGCTATTTGTATTACTGGGTTGAAGTACAGGTCATCCAGAATAAAAGAATATGGGTTAAGCGGCAGAACCTGCAAATATGTAGTTTTATCCATCTCATTACTAATAGCTGACAAACGGCAGTGTTAGGAGAAAATACTTTGCTCAATGCCACCAGTTTCTCATAATGGTGCAAGGTGATATGTACATTAATGACTCAGGCAAGATTCTAGAAATGTACCCTGGAAAAAAACACTGCTGACTTTGGCCTTGCCTTGCATAAAGTGATAACTCAACAGATCTAAAATAAATACCGCCCCCTTTGCTGTAATCACATGGCATTGTTATATAATCTTCCATGCAAGCATAATTTCTTCTTAATCTAATAGCTTCATGGAAAGACATTTCCTTTCTGAGCCATAAGAAAAGTTTTTTCTCCCTGTCTCTTTTTATACAAAATTTAAAAAACACACCTCACTAGGAAGACTAAATGAATCAAGCTGGATCGGGCTCACTTAGCTACACCAGATTTCTACTTGCAGAACTGGATGTTTCCAGTGCGGGCATGAAACCAAGAATGCTCTTTATCACACTTTCACTTAGCTATCATGGATAGCTCCTCTGTGTTTTGCTTAATTCTCTGAAAAAGTGGTTCTCAACCCTGAATTCCAGCATATGGTTTTCTGAAATGTCATAACTCTGAGCAAAACATGAAGTGTGGGCTATATGTGGCTTTCAGAGATTCCTTACACCCCCCAATAATAGTTTCTGATTAAACCATCAAGACCAGAAAGCATGATTTTAATTTAAATTAATATCCTACGGACAACTTGTTTTGCTTTTTTAGAAAAAGGTGTTTTTTTAAGAACTGGAAGTGGACTTCTGATGGTTTCCAGTCTCAGCAGGAAAGAAAGAAAGCCTACAGGGCCAGGAAGTAAAAAAAATGGTCTCTAAATGACCCAGAGTTGTTTACTACTGCCACAGATAAGCTTGTATTGTATAGTATATATATTGGGTCCTAACTAGAGATGGGCACAAACTGCTGATTTGTTGGTTCCTCCCAGTTCATTTACTGCCGCAACAGGTGTTGAGTGGTTTGACACCCTGCTCCCTCCAGTGGGTCCCCCCTTGAAAGCAGTGTCCCAGCTTACCTCCCCCACCTCCTCTGGATGCTAATTCTCAGTGGGTGCTTGCTGGAGGTTGCGGTGGTAAACGAACCGGGCCAAACTGGCAGTTTGTGCTCATCTCTAGTCCTAATAATGAAAAAAGGAGTTTCGGTTTCCCTCCTCCATTGTTCTGAAGTTTATAATCATGAAAGTACTCTGAGGTACTTGAACACAGAGTCAAACATAAATACATTTGGAAAGGTAAAGAAAAGAAAAATGGAAAAAAATGAGCAACCTCAGAAGCACCAACAGCAGTTCCATTTTGCACTGGTCCATCATTTGGTGGTGTGACAGCAACTTCAATTTTTTCTGAAGTATGATAAACAAATTAAAAAGAGATACAAAATTAAAATTAAGGTGAATGAGATATTTTTATCACAGTCCTATGTATCTCAGTGAATAACTAATGATAAATTCATAATGTGCTCTGTGAAAAGTCATTATCAGAAAAACTACTGAAAACTAAATTTATTGAAGACTTTACTTTGCAGCCAAATCAATTAGAAGAGCTCTGTGTTGCAGTGGTTAAATTGCAGTACTTCAGTCAAGTGGGAAAGTGTGATGGCAAGAGGAGAAGGGGACGACCGAGGATGAGATGGCTGGACAGTGTCTGTGAAGCAACCAACATGAACCTGACTCAACTCCGAGAGGCAGTAGAAGACAGGAGGGCCTGGCGTGCTCTGGTCCATGGGGTCACGAAGAGTCGGACACGACTAAACGACTAAACACACACACTTCAGTCAAGCTCACAACCTAAGTGCAATCCTGACAGAGAGGTTGGTAAAATGAGTAACCAGACCACTTGGGGGGGGCCCAAAGTGCTATTTGCATAGTAATGTTTCCAACCACCCAGAGAGTGCTTTAGCACTATGTGATGGTACAGAAGTCAAAACAACAACAAATCAAATGTTAATAGAGACCAAAGCAATAACTTTGATCTTATGGCAATGAATTTATCATTCAGATCTTTTCCATATGGCTGCTAGAACAGAGGTAAAATATCTGATCTTGTGTCTACCTTGCAATTATCTCTTGAAGACTTGGCCAACTCAAAAGTGCTTGGGAGGAAGCCGCTAAGGGGCTTAAACTTGCAAAGTTCCCATTATGCAACTAGAGAGACAGTCTGTGATTTGCCCCTCTTTGCCCATACTTGGGTATTTATGGGAACTGCCACTGAGATTCTCCCAATGCCAACTGTGGGAAAGCTATCTGATCTTTCAGGATAACTGAAGACATACTATAAATTTCCATGAATGGTTGAAGGAGAAAAAAGCCATGAAAAGTTATGCTTTCTCCACAGCATGTTCCTGATTTGCAGCAACTTTCTAAAAAAGGTTGTGAATGTAGGCTGGGAGTGTGACAGAGAAGTTACTTACCTGTAACTCTGGTTCTTCGAGTAGTCCTCTGTGAATACACACTAATCTGCACTCGAGCAGAGCAGTTTTGGAAACTTTCACAGCTTTAAGCACTTAGTGCCAGGACCTCCCCTACACCGGCTATATAACTCCACCCCCGGCACCCAGTGCCTCAGTTCTAAGGAACCGACTGCCACTGCCCAACATGCCATGGCACACGTGATGAACAGCGGGGAGGAGGGTGGGACGTGTGAATACACAGAGGACCACTCGAAGAACCAGAGTTACAGGTAGGTAACCTCTTTTCTCCTTTGTGTCCTCTGTGAACACACGGTAATGGGTGACTGGCAAGCTGACCAACCAGGAGGAAGAACGTCACGAAAGTGCAGATGCCAGGACAGTTCACCCTACTACAGCCTGAGCCTTCAGCTGGACATCCAGGCGGTAGAGCGAGATGAAGATAGACAGAGTGGCACATGTGGCAGTGTGGCAGACATCCGCAATGTCCAGTCCACAGAGAAAGGCTGTTGAGGATGCTACTACTCTAGTAGAGTGAGCGCTCACTGATTTTGGAAGAGGAGTCTCTGCCAAATCATAGGGAAGACAGATGGTCTGGACCATTTAGAAATGATATGAGAGGAAGCCAGTACTCCGAAGGAAGAGCCGGCAGACAAAGCAAAGTGGTCGTGTGATGCACATAATATGACAGAGCACACTTTACATTTAGAGCGTGCAAAGCTGTCTCAAGCAGTGAAGATGGCGTGGGAAAGAAGACAGGAAGGCTGGTTCAAACGGAAGGCAGAAAATACCTTAGGCAGGAAGGTAAGGTCTGGCTGTAAGGTTACTTGGCAGAAAGGAGGACCTGCTCTTAGTGTAGTCAGTCCTCCAGCCTTGCAAGCTTAAGGATATCACCAGGAGAAAGGTGGCCTTGAGGCAGACTGCAGATGAAACCGGTAAAAGGAACTGAAGGAATGTGTCTAGAGACATTGGCCTAGTAAGCAAATGTCGTATTGATGCAAAGTGACAGAACGCCTACCCATTAAAGGAGTAGGTCAAGGTGGTGTGATGAGATGAGATTTGTGATTAAAATCTTGTAAGGAACATGGGTTTTGTAATTAAGAAAAATGCAAGAGAGGTTCCATCTTGTTTCTCTGTATAAGGGATCTTTGCAATGCTAGCAGGTTGTTTGCTAGTGAGAGCTCAGAGAATGCTATTCTAAGAGCATGAGAAGGAACTTTGTGATAAGATAGATGGGTATTGTTGTGACTCTTTGCAAAACCACAGAAACCCAAATAACATCTGTTACCCATGAGAGAGAAAGTCATGTGGTACAACAGGATTGTTTGCCTAGCAACAGACTGTGATTGGATGACATCGTGGGAAGGAGCAGATAAGGACTTACCAGTTACTCTTGAAAAAGGAACTTTTACCTATGGACAATGTCATTCGTGACTCACTCTAATGTCTTTCAGGACCTATTCCTAGGTCACCTATGGCCTACACACATGGATTGCTCATACATGCACTCAGGGTATACTTTTGACTCGATTCATGGACTATTCCTATGGACTACTCTTAATGGACTATTCTCTTGGATTATTCTCAGGACAATGGGACATTTGCTTTTACAGAATTTTTCCTTTTGTACAGTATTTTCATTTACAGGATTAATGAGGACTATAGACTTTTTCTGACATAATGGGACTATTTTGTTTTCCTGATGGATTACCTTATTGGAACTGTTTTTATTCATTTTATTGGCTTTTTGAATTCTTTTACTGTTTTTGGATACTTGCATATTTTTCATGTTTTCTTCGCCTCACTACAGCTTGGTAATTAACCAGCATAATGATTATTTGTTGGCTTTTGCATAATTTGACTTTTTCTTTAAGGAACTTACTTTTTCTTTAATAAAATAATGATTATAAAAATTAATTGGTTTCCTGAACAGTAAACTTGTCATAGGTCATCTGATGGTGCTTGCCTCAGCCTTGCATACTTAAGGAGTCCTGCCTGTGGTGCGTGATAAGTCTAAGGACTACAAAGCCCACATGGTTTTCTAACAGTAATATCTGAAGGTACAAGGGTATTCTTATTAGGGCAGACTTGTAAGATGGAGAGTTGTACACGTCTAGCTGAGTTCTGGGACTCACTCAGCACATTTTAGCATGTCCATTCTCCTGATTACTCTCTGTCCGAGCATTCACGCATTCTCCAGGGAACCGTGTTTATCACAGGTGGTAGAAGGTTTGCGAGCATGATTGAGCACGTCTATTACTGTTGGGGAAGACTCCAAGCTGACAGGTAGAGGGACTCGAGGTCTGGATGAGATATCCTATCCTTGTCCCGAGATAGTAGGAAAGGGACCAGCTGCAGCCTGATGTATTCTGCAGCTCACGGGATCAGGATCGAGAACCATGGCTAGCGATGCAACCAAGCATGACATTTGCACACTCATGTTGGACTCAAACAACAGTCCTTTGAAGAAGGGGGAAAGGTGGAAACCTGTAAAGGAGGCCCCGTGACCAATTCACCAGGAAAGCATTCCCTAGGGAGCTGCAGCTGATGCCGGTTGGGGAGCAGAACATGGCACACATCTTGTTTGTCCAGTATGCGAAAACGTCTATATCTGGAATCCCCCATCAATGACAGAGACGGTGTCGTCAAGAGCCCACTCATGAGAGCAGAACTGTAGTCTGCTGAGATGGCCTACTACAGAATTGTTCTCGCCTGCCAAATGTAAAATGTGGCGAGCATAACACCATTCTGAAAAGTTGATGGTGTGAACGAGAAGGTGAAACAAGTGAATGCTGCCCTGCTTGTTTATATAATAAACTGCAGTGGCATTGTCTGATGTGACCTGGACTACCCGACCTCAGAGTAGGGGCTCAGAGGCCCGAAAGGCCTTGGTGATTGCCAGGAGCTCCAGCGCAATGATATGCAGGCTGGCTATTCTCGTGGACCAGCAGCCAAGGGCAACATGATGGCATAGACAAGCCCCCCCAGCCTGGTGGGCTGGCATCCACCACTGACTGAACCAACCTGGTCAAGAGACCAAAGGGTCTCCCTATCCATAGGTTGGTGGGGGGGAATTCCACCAGTCCAGTTGTGCAGCGAGTTCTGGAGTCATCTGGAGCAACGTGGATGGGTTGTTGCAAGATATCTAAAAGAGTGAGAGAAAACAGGCTTGAAGGGACCGCATCCTCAGTCGAGCATGCTATCCCACAGCTGCAGTAGATGCCATCATCCCCAGGAGTTGCTGGACAGTGAACCAAGTGCCTGAAGAAAAGGAGCATAACAAATCATGACTTTACACAGACTTGTTGTCAGGGGGAAAAAAGCCTGCTTCAAGAAAGCATCCAAAGTCAAATTAATACAATTTACACAATGTGCAGGTTGCAAAGTCGACTTCTCTGTGTTGACTTTTATTCCTAACACTGACAAAAGAGGCAGTGATTCTCCCAACTGAAACCCTGAGAAAGCGTTGATGGTCTGACCCAATGCCAGCATGAAAATGAGCATCTTACAGTAAACTCCTTGGACGTAACATGTGAATAACAGAGTTCAAGGAAGCTATACAGAATCTTTGTGGAGTAATAAAAGAATTCAGGCCAGAGGCCTCCATCCTTTTTTGGGGGGTGGCCATAATGTGGCCCGTGACAGGGGGTACAACGAATTCAGTGGCATAGCTGGTGGCTATGATAGAGAGTGCCGAAGTGTTGTATGTGAAGGAACACCAATTCGAAAGACAAGGGGTCAAACGAACTGATTGGTCAATGGCAGAGAAGTCAGGTGCAGTAAAGGGACTGCTCGATTTTGCGGTACTGCCTGCGGTTCTGTTGGTCAGGGCGCTGCCTGCCCACTTGTCTAGGGGGTGGCGACTGGTAACTTTGGGGTTGTTTTGATCACAAAACAGTCATCGTATAATGGTTTCGTCGTTTAATGAGGTAATCGTTAAGTGAGGCACCACTGTAAAGGTGCACAGGAGCTACCTGCAGAATGGGCAGTGCCAAATTCCATAAGTGGTGATGATAAGCACCCATGACAGAGCAATTGGCTACATAGTGGCCAGAAAATAAAAACGGCAACCAAAGAACTCCTTATCTGTTAATGATAAAGGAGGGTGACTATCTGCGGCAACTGATACAGTATAGGTGTAGGAAGATTGGTTGGAAAATCTTCCTCTCCCTGTGACTCATGTGAGTCCCAATCCTTAATAAGGTAAGTCCTTCTGATGATCAGGGGAGAAGTCTTTCCTAGCATGAGCCTGACCAAGCTCAGTCTCATGAGTTGGCAGGATATAGAAGGCTGAAGGTGTTAACAGCGGGTCTGGTCGAGCCCACAGACACTTTGCTGCCGGAGCTGAGTTTGAGGGAGCACTGCACCTTTGCAACGTAGGTGGAGGCACAAAGCACTCCTTAGCCTGTGGCTCAGAACAATGCCAGGTGGAGTGGGGCGGCGGTGCTGGCAGAAAAAGCTCATACCTCCCATACCAAATGAAAGGAACTGGTCCTGTACAAACTTGTCAGTGTGATAAGATCCTCCTGAGGAAAATTACTTGGGTCTACCTGACAGCAGCAGGGTTCTTGGGTTGATTCCTATGAGTCCTTTCCCAATGAGCCTACAGTGGCGCCGGTAGCTGAGGTGGGACTGCAGGCTGCTGTGTGAACGAGCCCATTGATAAATGAGGGCTGTTTTGTGCTAAATTATCAGCCACCAGAGACAGGAATATCACTGACTAGTAGGGCTAGCAGTGGTAGCTGCAGCCCCCCCCTTTAAAGGCAAAGCAAGGGTTCCAAATGTTGCCAGAAAGCTCTTGCTTTAGCACCGAGCTGTCTCTGGAAATAGCAGCTGTGTGAACGAGCTGCTATTTCCATGATAAATGAAGGCTGTTTTACGCCAAACCACCAAAATGTGTTACCCCAGTGAGGAATATCACTGACAGGTGGGGCTGGCAGTGGGAGCTGCAGGGGGCCCTTTCTTTCCCCAAAGGCAAAGCCAAGGCTTACCATATGTTGCCAGGACATCTTCAGCCTCGGCACTCAGCTCCCTCCGGAATTAAGAGCTGTATGAACGAGCCCATGATGCAAGAGAGCTGTTCCACGCCAACCTCTCAAAGAGGCTTTTACCCCAGTCAGAAGAATCACTGACAAGCGGGGATGGCGACCGGAGCTGCAGGAGACCCTTTCTTTTTCCAAGGGCAGGGCTACAGATGCCCAACTCAATGGAGGTTTAACAGCTGTATGAATGATCCCTTTGATGCAAGAGGGCTGTTTCACGCCAACCTCCAAAGAGGCTTTACCCCAGTCAGGCGAATCACTGACAAGCGGGGATGGCAACCGGAGCTGCAGGGGGCCATTTCTTCTTCCAAGGGCAAGCTAGGGCTACTGGTGCCCAGCTCTCTGCAGAGTTAGCTCAGATGCTGTCCTCTTCTTTTTTGACACGAGGAGGAAGATTGCAAACAGGTGGATAGCTGTTGTTCTTGAGCCTGGGGGTAACCAGGTAAAAAAGACCTTATTTCTTTAAGAGAAAAGCCCTGAGGGCTCCAAAGCCAGCTTTGTAAAGCTTTTACACAGAATACCTAATGCCAGCTAGTGCTCTTCCCCCAGGCAGAAGAAACAACTTGTTAATGAAGAAAGAACAAGGAGAGGTCAAAGAAATGAAAGGAAAGGAATAGAATTGTTTTTTTTTTACTTGCGAAGTTCCGAACGATGCTGCTGCTACAGTGGTGGTCGAAAAAAGAACTGAGGCACTGGGTGCCAGGGGTGGAGTTATATAGCTGGTGTAGGGGAGGTCCTGGCACTAAGTGCTTAAAGCTGTGAAAGTTTCCGAAACTACTCTGCTTGAGCACAGATTAACCCATTAGTGTGTATTCACAGAGGCTACAAAGGAGAACCTTGATTTGGAAACACATAAAAATACAAATCAACAGGTGAGGTGGAAATGAGGCAAGCAGGTTGACTGCTATTAGTCTACAATATCTAAGGAAATCACCCTGAGGAAAACAGTAAACTTGTTTACATATTTCCACTTACCAGCATGATTAGCAGTTCCATTCCTTTTTTCACTATCTTCTACCTGGCATTTTTTGGCCATCTTATGAAGAATTGATGCCCTTTCTTTGAATTTCCCTGAAAGAAAACATCACTCTTGTTAAAGCACAGCCATTCTAGGCCATTGTAAGAGCTTTTAATTTCACATCATGAAAGCAACTCTCGAATTGGTCTTCTCAGTCACACTAGATGCTGTTCCAAGACCTCTATTCAGAGCATGTTACCATAATCTCTTGAGACTGAAGGATGCCTACTCAATAAAAGCATGTCATGTCAAGTTCTTCTAGGTCAGTGATGACAAACCTTTTTGAGCCTGAGTGCCCAAACTGCAACACAAAACCAACTTATTTATTTCAAACACTGCAATTAAACCTGAATACTGAGGCTTTAATTTAGAAAAAAAACAACTGCCCCTGCACTGCAAGGGTTAAATGCTTGGTTTCCCCCCCCCCCGGGCCAATATTAACAGAGAAATACTTACCGGTCCTCCACCTCTTGGGCTAGACCAGTAATGGCTGCCACTGAACCCCTCCGCTGATCCGGGATTGGAGGACAGGTAAGTATTTCTTGATGGTGACTTATCACTTGTGTGCCCACAGAGAGGGCTCTGCATGCCAGCTGTGGCACATGTGCCATAGGTTTGGCATCGCTGTTCTAGGTAAAGCTGCAAGTAACAACTTAATCTGCCATATGCTTATACAGTGGTGCCTCGCATAGCGATCGCTCCGTTTAGCGACGAAATCGCTTTGCGATGAACATTTTGCAATCGCTTTGCGATGTCCCCTATGGGGTATTTTCACTTTGCGATGACCGATCATCACAAAGCGACCAATTTCGCACAGCTGATTGGCGGTTTCAAAATGGCCACTGGGAAAAAAACATGGCCGCCCGCTGTTCTCTGGGACAGATTCCTCGCTTAAGAGGCACCAGAAATGGCCGCGCTATGGAGGATCTTCACTGAACAGTGAGTTTTAAGCCCATAGGAACGCATTAATCACGTTTTAATGCGTTTCTATGGGCTTTTTTATTTTGCATTGTGACATTTTTGTTCAACAGAGATTTCGCTGGAACAAATTAACATCCCAATGCGAGGCACCACTGTACAGAAAAAAGTCCCACTAAATATAATACATTACAGACTAAGAAACTGCGTCACCGTCAAACTTCAAAAAATAATGATAGTTAGCTGTTGCCCACATAGCCATACATGTGAATTTCTTTCAGAGATCTGACCACTGACTGATAAGACAGAAATTCTCTTTGATCTTATAAGTGAGACAACCATGTGAACTCAGTATATGTCTGCTTCAGTTTGTTTTCTCCATTTTGATACTGAAGAGTCACCAGGAATTGCCTGAGTGAACAGAGATACAGTGCCCTGGGGTTCAGGCCACAGCTGAAATTTAGCAGTGTAAATTACCCTGCGTAAGACTGAGGTGGTTTTTCTTAAATTAAATATTTCTGATTCCGATCCAAAGGTCCCAAGCTTCCCCTGGATCTATTTTTATTATAGGGTAGCCATAACGAAAATATAATGGTAGGCAAAAGACTCTGAAGCTCATCTGAGCTCTTGTGAGAAAAATGTTTTCCATTTTCCTTCTTGTCACATTTCTGAGTCATAGATTATGCCAAGTATTCACCTCTGATAAATCAAGGCTTGGACTTAGTAGTAATAATATCCTTTTGTGGTTTTCTGCAAAAAAATTTTTTGGAGAGCAGAGGATAGCTAGAGACAATGAAGAAATGCATACTGGAACTCAGAGAAACCACCTGCGAGATCAGAAAATGCAGATATCATATTGTGAAATACAGATATCCAACAGCCACCAATCCAATTTCCTTTTCTAGCTGGAAGGTGGAACATGCAGCCGTTCAAAAGAATTGCTGTTATTGTTTCAGAGTATTTTTTTAAAAAAGTTACACAAAATAGTGTATTTGGTGCACATGAAAATAAGAGCATTTATGAGAACAGAATTCAACAGATCACAGGGGAGGAAAACATAAAACTTCAATGAAAGAAAGCAATTAATGAACCATTAAGGAGGAAAGAAATGAAGGAAGGAACACTAATGATATATGGTCCAATCCAATGATATACAGTATTTATGCTGTGGAAAATTCAAAGCTGAGGGAGGGGCGGAGCGAGAGAGTGAGAGCAGAGGAATCCCCAGGGCTCTGGGAACCCCTGTGTAAACTCCAGGTCAGCAGACACCCCCCCCCAGCAGTGGAAAGGGAGGCAAGTTCCACAGGAGAGTGGGCTTGCAGTGAGCAGAGCTGGAAAAACTCTGCTCACAAATCTGTCCCCTTTCTCAAAGCATCTGGCTCAGGAGACACCATGTCTGGTGAATTAGCCACCTAACTTTACCAAGGTGGAAAGTGTGTGAAGAAAATTTTCGCCTGACTACATGAACAGTGAGTAACTGGACTTTTATTGAGGATCAGCAAGCATAAATCAAATTCAAGCTGCTGACTTTAAAGTAGAGAAGAAATAAACAAAAGTGGCGAAGGAGCAATTATACAAGGGTTCCCATTTTTCCTAGCCTCAACAGTTTCCTTGTCCTTTAATACTTCAGTTAAAACATTCATCTCTGCTGCATCAAATACTTTTTCTATTGACTCTGGATTGTTAGTGTCTCCTCATGTTTTCAGTATTTTGCATATAAAATTCTTGCTGCTGTAGTTACATGTATGATCAAGTATCTTTTTTCTATTGAATCTGGTACTATATTCAAGAAAAACAGTTCAGGTTCATACAGAATTGTACAAGATAACATATTTTTGGATAAAATCTCACGGACTACTTTCCAAAAGCTTTTAATTTCCCTACAAGTCCACCACAAATGATAAAAACTACCTTTTTAATTTACATTTCCAACATTTTTAGAGGTATTCTGATATATTTTTGATAATTTTTCATATACTATCTGTAGAACATCATATATACATTTTCTTTATGATTTTGTTAACTTAATATTGTTTTCCCATACTTGTGACCATGGCTCCAGGTTAATACTGTGGCCCATATTTTGGGCCCATTTTATCATACATTCTATCTATTTCATCTTGCATTTTTAATTCTAGTAAATAATTGTAAGTTTTAATCAGTTTTTCCTTTATATTCAGAAGTATCTTATTTAATGGTGTCTGTTCCTTACAAAAGCCTATTGAATTATCCCTTGTATACGAATCTCTTTGCGTTTTTGTCCACCAGTTGAGTATTATACCTTGTTCTTCTAATTCTTTCCTTGATTTCATACTTAAGTCCTATTTTAACAAATCCCTTTATCTCAGGAGTTTCCTCTTTTCCATTAATGTTGGTTGTGAGAATGCTTCCATTGGCAAGACCCATTCAGGACCTTTCTGGTAATTTTCCTGCCAAATTCAAAGCTTTCCTTATCATATGGTTCTTAAATTGTTTATGGTCTTTTGCTTTTTGATACTATAGGAAAGCATGCCACCCTAGGTTTAGATTGTGTCCTTCTAGTTTTTAGTACTCTGTCATTTTCTAAAACTATCCATTCCTTTATCCAAACTAGGGGTAATGGGAGAGTTTACATGAAAAGTTACTGAACTACTTTGTCTCTCCTAAGATGTTGCTACAGTGCCATGGTTAAACCCTAGTGCTCCCAAAAGCCAAGAAGGTGTGTGATTAGCATACGAGGGATAGAAGGGGTGCATTATGCAAAGGAAACAGATAGGAAACCTGAATTTTGCTTTTCTCATGCAGGGCAATAACATTTCTGAGAACTGGTATAGAGAAGGTGGGGTAGGGGCATCCTTGAAGTTCATGGGGTAGCTTGTGACAATGGATTACTCTTGAAAATTATTTTCATAGTAACAAAGGATGCCCAAAGAAGAATAGGTTCTAAGTACAGTATGTATCATAGCTAAGTCCATGCATCACATAGATGAGATTGCTGTTCCTTCATCCTTCCATCCCCAGGAAACAAGGCCATGCTTCATTGTGCAATGCCCCTTGTCATTTCAAGCTATTTGGAAGTGAACCACCTTGTGGAACATGAGTGTGGCCGAAGGATTTTTCAGCTACAAGAACAGAAATTCATTTTTCCCTTAGCTGCTTTCAACAGCAAAATCCCATGTTGTATCAGCAAACCAGTGTTTTCCAAACATAAACTGCTCAGTCAAAACAGACACAGAGTCAGGCATGTTCTTTTCCTCCCAAAGGTAAAAGCAAAAATAACTGGAGGAGTCTTTGCAAGATGACCAGTTGAGGGGACAGGATCCAGTCATTCCCTCTCTCACACTGATTTCTGCTTCAGTCAAGTGCCCTTCTGATTGAAAACCCCGAGTGTAGTTGTATCTTTCATTCAGCTGTGGGTGGATGGGAAGAACAGTAAGAAAACTCATTTTTCATTTATAACTCAAGGACATTCCAGATGAGAATGACCATCATTTACAAGATAGCAAAAAACTCTTATGTGAGGTAGTTGCTGTTCCCATTTTTCCATTTCTGCATTTAAACTGTTCTGCCGTGGCTTGCCCTGAAAAGGCAAAAAATGTGGAGGAATACCGCAAAATAAGATTTGTCAGGATTTGCCGCTGCATAGAAATATTAATTTATTTGGGTCATAAATGTTTCAAAAGCCACTCTTCCCCATTTTTGTTTTCTCTGGAATACAGAGCAAGGCTACATTTGGAAAAAAAGGTAGACTTAGGCTAAACGGAAACATTATCTAATGCCTTTCCTTAAGTTCTCATTCTTATGTTTTCACAACAAAGGGTGCAGGTGGATGAGCGACATCAGTGATCTCAGGGCCATTCCACTGCCACCTGCTTAACTTGGATTAAGTTCAACTTCAATTCTACAAAGATTTGCTGAAGAACCAGACAAAAGGCATCTCCCTGGCATTCTTTCTGTGGATCCCTCATGGCCCTCAAATGGTTAGCCCAAGCAAAAGAAAGTCTGGCCACGTCTGAGGCCTCTAGAGGCAGCAACTCACCTTTTAAATAAGTTGCAGTTCTCCAATACTAGTTAACATAAATCCCCCAGTTTTTCAAAACCAATTATGTATCTGGTCACTTGCAGGTCCCCCCCCCCATTTTTCATTTTTGTTTAATGGGCCATGCTGTACAGTTTTCTGGGGGAAGAAAATTGTCCCTCTGGACCTCTCCTTGTTTTCTACCATAACACTGCCTGCCTTAGTTTTCTGTCAGAAAGCAGTTATAAGGAGCACTCAAAAACTCGGGCCAGCATTTAGCTATCAAATGCTGTTTATTTTTTTTTACTACTTAGCAAAATGTAAGTAAGCATTTTGAAGGAAGGAAATTGTATTTCCTCACATTCATATTTGGATTAATGTTCAGAATGAAAACACTGAAATTATTGGGTAACCCTCTGAAGGGTGTAAAGTTAAGGTCAGGCAAGTCTTATTAGATAGGAGGCACACTTTGGCCCATAAACTTGCTAAAACCGCATCCAGGTACCACTGCCAGTCTTGTCAGAAGGGTAAAGGCATTCATCTTGCATAACCTATTTTAAAGTGAAAAATCAGCACCATCCATATTTGACAGCACAGAGGCAAATATGGCAGTGGAACATCAGGCATTGTCAACGTCAGGAGCATGCAGCCCACATGTGGCCAATCTGTGTGTGGCCCAGCTGTATGTTAAATGGACATCACAAACAGAATAACTGCATTTGAAGATAACACAGAAACTCCAAGTAGACAGACAAACAGTAAGACCCTGGTTTCCAAGATTACTAGAACACATTATTTCCACTTGAGTTATGTAACTGCAGTGGCTGGCATGACTGACAGTGTGTCTCAAGCTTCCTGGCTTTGTGGAGGTTTTTGCACATCCATTCATTTGCTCAGGAATGTGTATGCATTTGCTACAGGAGTCCACAGTGCTACAGAGAACCTTGGGGTCATATGGTAAGGTACACCTTTACTTTATCAAAGACGTTAGTCTAATCGTGGCTCTTACCATAACTTCAGGTGAATGAAAAGTGTGACAGACAATAACCAGCAACTTTCATAAGGTTCTCTATGCAGGGCTGGGTTTTTTTTTTCCTAGTACATGTGACCTTCTGGTACCTCCTCATGCCAAAGGGCCCTCTTCACATTTGTGAAAAACTGGATCATAAAGTTGCCTTGTGCCCTTTTGGTAATGTGCAGGCTATGGTGTCACATTTGAGGGGCCACTTGACACTCCTGTCCCTAATAACCCCCCTCTCTCTTGAAATTGGTCATTAGAGCACAAGGAGGGATTTTTTTTGAAAAGTGAGCAGAAGTGAATATGATATTCCAGGTCCAGGGATAAGGCATGTGCACTCCTGAAACTCTGGACATTGCCCACCTCTATACAGGTGCTAATAGGGCAAACTATTTTTTTTAAATGAAGTTTATATGTCATTATGAAGCTCCTTATAGAAAAGCTTGGGGGAAAAACCATTTTGTTCAAATACAGCTCAAAAACTGCTGATTTAACTTAACTCACCCCAACAAGTTTTTGCCAGAATGCTTGGGACTTGTAAAGTGAGTCTATCTTTAGCCACTGCATAACTGTACACAACCATCCCTGCTGTCACATGACCAACGAGCAGGAATCAGGCAATCCTGGGCGCAAAGGATGCTGGGAGCCATAGTCTCATTGTCCCTTAAGCTCTAAAGCAGTGGTCCCCAACCTTGGGCCTCCAGATGTTCTTGGACTACAACTCCCAGAAGCCTACACCACCACCTCTTCTGGCCAGGATTTCTGGGAGTTGAAGTCCAAGAACATCTGGAGGCCCAAGGTTGAGGACCACTGCTCTAGAGGATGCCTCCCAACAAACCATGGCTCCCAGGAACCGCTGCAGCACACTTCTTTTAAACAATTAAAAACAGAAACCATAAGCCAGAGAAGGCAGCCAATGCTTAGAGCAGCTGCAATGGAGGTAAATAACCTGAAAGACATACTCTGGCTGTTGTGGGGGACAGGGGTGCTTGCACAAAACCTACAGGTCTGTAGATTTATTTTTCTGGGCTGCAACTCACAATTCTGTCTGGGGGTTGCAGTCGGAAAACACAAAAGAACTGAACATCCCTTGTGGCTTCCTTAGAGAATGAGCTAGATGTTACTGAGAGTTGTTCTACTGTGTACGGTGAGTCCAAGATGTTATTCTGTTGCTGTTTGTTTGCATTGCTTATTGATATGTCAATGTAAAACATTTTTCTCTTACTTTATTTTGTTCAGTAAACTCAGACTTCCTTTTCCTTAAATCAAAAGGAGGAAATTCCCCAATGAGGAAAAAAAAAGTTATGGTTGGTGCTATTCCCACCACAAAGACAAGGAAATTCTGAGTATAAATCATCCTCACTCAAAACTGGGATAGACTGGAGCACTTTTTTCCTATCAGCTTTTTCCAAATGCAAAAGTGACCTCTAAAGAGGAAACAAAATATCTGCTTACTTAGGACTCAGTCTATTAGACCAGCGGTCCACAACCTTTTTAGCCCCACGGACTGGCTGGGGAAGGCAGGGCACCCCCTGCGCTTGTGCGCATGTGCAATGGAGTGGGGGGTGCTCAGGGGGCACTCATGCACATGTGCAAAGGGCTGGGGGAGCGTTCATGTGGGCGCAGGCGCATGCAGGCTCAAATGGGCTGTGCAGGGGTGGGTCTGTCTCTGCGGCCTGGTCCGGCTCAGGCCACAGACTGGCACTAGGCTGCGGACCGGGGGTTGGGGACCTCTGTATTAGGCAGCAAGACCTCATTCGTCTTAATAAGGATGAGTTGTTCTGGACTAAAAAAAGATTATCTAACTATGGATAGAAAAGCTGCTGCTTCTACATATTGACACTACTGAATTCCAATTCTTCATTCCAGCAGGAGATTTTTCTCTCTTTTGAGAACAGACGATGAACACTTCTGTTGAGTTACTGAAACTAGACCTTGGTTTTCATTTCTGGGAGAAAGATGTGGCATATTTTGCACAAAGAAATAAACAGTAAAGCCAGCGCAGTGTAGTGGATAGTTAACCAGACTAGGACTCAGGAGACCTGTGTTCAAACTGACATTCAGCCATGGGAACTCATTGTGCAAGGTGAGGCAAGGCAATGATAAACTACTCTTTGGATATCTCAGGTCTCAAAAATGCTAACAGGGTCACTGTAAATGGGAAGAGGCTTGTGGACAGAGAACAACAACAAAAGTTCTAATATTCCAACATATGTGTTTGCAAAATCAAAATGTCAGAGACAAAATGTTTGATTAACAATTCTTCTGAAGTCTTAATGTTGATAACCATAAACACATTTAATTGAGGAATTAATTTTTTTAAATATGTACTATATGTTAAGTATATATTAATACATGGTCCAAATATGTGCTATAAAAACACCACCTGTATTTGCATTATGATATTAAAGGAAAAACAGCAAATGCAAAGTAAAAAAATTAAGAGGTGTTTATAAAAATGTTAAGAAGTATTGCAGCACATCACACGATGCCAGTGAGTCATGCAGAGAGGAATGGAAAAGGACTCAAAAAGGAAAAAGTAATGACACTTTCAAAAAAGTTTTAAAACGCTGACACAAAATTCTAAAATATTTCTTACCTTCTTTAGTCATTGTGTCATAATACAGTATTTTAGTTTTCCATATGATCCAAGCTCTACAACATCACAGTAAAAGACACAGAGATAAGGATCCAGCAGACACTGAAAATAATTTACATGCTTTCACATTGTAATACAGTTCACAGGAATGATCTTTCTGCGGAGTACACAAACATAGTTTGTCGAAATGGCACATGTATTTTTTTCCTACAAGAGAGGCTCTTATGATAGAGACAAACAGTGTGATTCTTTAAGCTGCATATTACAATAAGCTGTAGCAGGAAAATGAGTTTTATGTCTTGTCTCTGTGAAATGACAACACAACTCCAGTAAAATTTACATCCAGGGATCATGTAGGCAGGTACGGAATGGTGGTTCCTTCCCACATCAATGTTCTTTGATCATAAAAAGGAATGTTTGTGCAGCTGGGAACCACAACACTAGCCCACTAATATTCTGACTTACAAAAGCCTAATTCTAACATGGCATGAGCACTGTATCAACAACATGATACAACTGCCTCCCTTACAGCTCTCAGAGACAATGAAAACTTGTTCCAGGAAATCTCAACCTTCCCAAGTAGGTTTTTTTAAAATGTATGATTAAATGGCAATAGGGAAGGGGAGTTCCCCTCCCACTTGATTGCACTGGATGCCACTATTCTGCCTGTGAAAGGCTGGTACCAGATCCCAGCTATATAATGGGCTAGATCAAGACTTTCTTCTCCCTCTTTCAGGAGACTCCATGGCTGCTGAAACCTGCTCTGGGAAATCCTCTACTATAGTTTTGTGGTGTGCTGAAGGCCTGTGAGAGGGATGGGAAGAAAGTGCTGCTAATGTAACATTAGATTTATGCCTTTATGGATGTTCAATTTTGTGTTTTTGCAATTCTTCACAATATTCAGTTTCACTGCAGTTAGCAGATTTGATGTCATAGATTAAACGTTTTATTTATTATTTACTGTTGCTATATTAAAATATATTTATTTCTACTCAATTGTCATTTATTTATTGTAAAAACTATAATAGAAATACGAACAAGCATATTTTAAAGAAAATGTAATCCAGACAACTGCATTCCATGCTTGAAATTATGTTGTTTTGTCATCTCAGTCTGATTTCTGAAGCCTGGTTCAGAAAGAGGTAAGAGCTTTCTCGCAAAAGCAATTAAAGCATAATGATTCTAGCACATCCATCTGGCCTACAAATGGCCTGGGAGCACAATATTTTTGTTCCAGATAATACGGGTATTGAAATGCAAAACCTCCCTTTTGAAAATAATTTCCACAATGCAGTTCAGTTATAAGCTACGCTTTTAAAAAAAATTGAGAATAAGGACTGAGGCAAAGAAAATATCTGTGTTGAAGAGTTTCATCTACTTGTCAAACAAAAGGAAAAGCCACTGTAAAATAAAATAATATCCTGTAATACATTGAAACTAATACATTGAAACTATATGGGAAATAAAACTCTCTAAATGCAATTTCAAACTTTATCCCAAACTGCTATTGAGATTCTATTCACACTTTTGTTCTGAATGATTAAAAAAATACTCATGAGAAACGTTGAGATGCAAAGCAGTAAGAAATTAAGACTTTTTTTTGCATTCTGACTTACCCATCACTAAGTTCCAATATTCCTTCAGTAACATTTTTCTGAGCATTTATCAGTGACTAACAAAATTGAAGATTAACACATTAATAACTAAATAATAGAATTGTAGATGTTATCCTCCCCCTTTTAATGGAACCAGTTGAAATTATAAAAACACAAATTGCTTTTCATCTACTTTGTTAGTGGCTCTTGCCTGTTCTCTTCTAAAAACATGCTTATTTCAGGCATATTTTCATATCACTCTTTTTTTTTTTTTTTTGGAAAATCTGTCACAATTTTCTGCAAACCACCGAAGAGCTGAAAAATCTGATTCTTTCACAAAAGGAAATGTAGCTTGCCTGTGTTTTCCTGTATTTGCAAGAATGACCACTCAGTTTAAGAACAACCAGCCCTTGCTTTCTGTCCTGTATTCATATTGTTGACATAGCTTTTGCTGCAGCACCATGGTCAAAGAAACACAGGCCTACAAAGCTTCTTCAGAAGACAAACAGTGAAGGAAAGGACGGCTTGTGATATATATTTTTTAAGTTTTTCAGAATTTTTTTGTGGAAGGACAGGAAAGCAATTGTTCAAGCCTGAATATAATCTTAGTGTTAAAAAAAATCCACAGCTCCCAACATTTGTACTGGTATGTTTAGTTTAGCGAAGAGAAGACTGAGGGGAGACATGATAGCAGTCTTCCGATATCTGAAGGATTGCCACAGGTAAGAGGGCATCGATTTATTCTCCATTGCAGCTGAGAGTAGGGCAAGAACCAATGGGTGGAAACTCTTCAGAGGAAGATCCAACCTGGAAATAAGGAGGAATTTCCTAATAGTGAGAACCATTAAGCAGTGGAAGTTCTTGCCTCCCAATGTTGTGGGTGCCCCATCGCTGGAGGTTTTCAAGAAAAGATTGGACAGCCATCTGTCCGGGATGGTATGAGGTCTCCTGCCTTGGGCTTGGGGTTGGACTAGACAACCTCCAATGTCCCTATGATTCTATTCTATGATACTGTGTGATTGATGCCCTGAGAGATTGTGAGGGCATGATCAGTTAAGAGCCTACAAGAGTCATCCAACTATTTTATATGCTTTATCAGCCTGTTACTGTAGGTGCATTTGCATGAATGCAGTTCAGTTACTCACTTATCTACTCTTTCTTTCTTTCTCCAAACCTTTATTGGCATAAATACAGCTGGGATTACTAACAATAAACACAACGGGTTATAATTTGGAAGTTAATTTAAGAATCTCAAGCAGAAAAATAGCGACAGCTTCAGTGATACGGGAGGAAGAATCATTCAGAAAAATCTCAGGGGTGTTCGGCAGGGAAGATAACCAGGGTTCTAGTAGTGCCTTACGAATGGAAAATGTTAGAATCTGCATCATGGTATGGGCTGACTGTTCAGCGGCTGTGTAGTGACAGGCAACTATACCCTGAAATATATGCAGCATATAAGAATGACTGCATTCTGATGTGTGCCGCACTCTGAGTGGTGATGGAGTAAGAAGGTTTAATGGAACACAGTTCTTTCATACTGAAGACCAGCGTACCTCAAACTGCCTCTGCTTACATGACAACATCCTGGGGGTGCAGAAGTATCCTTAGTTGTTTCAAGCTAATAATCCTTGGAATTAGGGTTTATGCTCAATGCTGCTTATCCCTAATCTAGGGAAATGGGAAAGTCTTGACAAGTGGAAAAGGAAGATACTGGCTGAAATGTGTAATAACTCGCAACTAGAGAGGAGTTGATTCACTGAATGCCTCTTCATTCATTTGCCCTCCTTTAGTTGTGGCATTACTAAATTCTAGTTACTATCCAAAAGAGGCATAATAATAGAAAAGGAGAAGAAAGGCATATGCAAATAATGAATTAGAAGAAAAATAATATTTGTAAAGAATGAAATCAGTATTGTTTGTTTGTTCAGTCGTTTAGTCGTGTCTGACTCTTCGTGACCCCATGGACCAGAGCACGCCAGGCCCTCCTATCTTCCACCGCCTCCCGGAGTTGTGTCAAATTCATGTTGGTTGCTTCGATGACACTGTCCAACCATCTCATCCTCGGTCGTCCCCTTCTCCTCTTGCCTT